AGTAATGACTAGTATAGTAATGGAATTGTTATCTTAATTACTATAATTAATGTCCTTTTAAATAATTTAATTATTGTTTGATAATTATTGTAATTATAACTGGCCTGTAACTTCAATGCTGCATGTACAAGAGGCAAACCACTTTATCCAATTGAGCGCTGATAGTCACTGACATGCACTGTAATGAGTTACATTTATGTACATGTACATTGTAATTTTTGGAAGTGTTTAACGGGCTATAGTTTTAGGTGCAGCAATTGTATGATAAAAAAATGCATCCAACTTGACATAATAATATTGTGTCAATAATATTGTTATTATTATTATTATTATTATTATTATTATTATTATTATTACTTTTATTATTATTATTATTATTATTGTTATTATTATTGATATTAGAAACTTGATAAAAGAGGTGAGGATTTATCAAGAATTGAGGAACAAACAGAAAAGCTTGCCACTGATGCTGATGACTTTGCTTCTGTTGCTGAAAGGCTTGCTGAGAAGTATCGAAAGAAAAGATTTTAATTCATTGAAATTGTAAAATAAATTTAATGCATAGACACACACACACACGCTTAACTATGTTGTTATTAGTAATGTTAATTGCTTTATTCTTTCCATTTTTATTTCATCTTGTTAGATTATTAATAGTTGCAATGATTTATTATGATTAAGAGAATAATTATGGTAACAGTTAGATGAAGTATTATGAAATTAATAAAAATGAAGAAATGTGTCATAGCTATTTTGATGAAATGCCATGTACTGTTTGCATGTGATAGTACAGGGTATTTTTGTCGAATTTTGGAATCTACAAGCTGAGCGCAGAAATACTTATACAACCCACAAAATGTAAATTACATTTTTCTTGCTTAACTATGCTGTGTACTCATGCTGCTTTAATTATTATTCTGATGCATAATTAGACCTTTACATGTTCTATGCTACTTAAAAATTTTCAGCCAATTCCGACCAAAATTGAATTTTGTGAATTTTTAGAATAGTGCTCTTAAATGATAATACCTTATAGTGGGAAATTTTGTAGGGAATTAAATTTGGCAAATTTAGCATTTTGATATCAATTCACCAAAATAAAAGTCCACCATTTTGAGCCATTATACGCATGCTCAATGGCATGTGGCCACAAATTAGCCAAATTAAAAAATAACTGAGAGTGATGAATCCCCCCCCCCCCAATAAATCCCCTATTTCCCCGTACTGAGGCCGCTTGACATGACTTAAAGCTTATTAAAATGTTTCTTTGTTCAGCATCAGTTAATGTGGTGGAAGGAAAGAATGATGGCCCAGGATCTTCAAGACCCAAAAAGCCCATTGCCTCACACTCATAAATGGCAAGAAGATACATTACAGTAAAAAACTGCATAATTTATACCAGCCTGAGAAAAACACCTATAGTGCAAGGTTTCTATTAGTCCAATCAGTGACCCAACTCAAGCAAACAACTAGCCCAAGGACCTGGAACCAGAGAGACAGCACTAGAAATATGAAAAACACTCTCTCAGTAGGTGGCAGCCATTTTGTCATGCGCATAGTGCGCATGCGCATTACAGATAAACCACCCACATGACTAATAATATTGGATCCATTCCATTCCTGCAGAGTGCAGAGTGCAGACGCTTTGGGTGGAATGACTGAGACAAGTCAGTATCTGTAATTTTCCAGTCTCTTCTCTTATGTCTTTCTTTCCAATTCTCTCCATTACTTTACTCCTCTGTATCCTCTGCTTATTATAACTATTCACTATATTACTGCATGTGTCCTCTTGTTATAGGCCATCAACCAGTGAAGAGAAGGGGTCACTCAACAGTACAGGTAGGAGACTACCTGTACATGTGGGGTGGGGACCAGCCTGGTCTACCTCACATACACAATGATGAGAAGAAGAAATCAATGTGTTCTGTAGTGGAGGTCTGTCATGTACCAAATGGTGAGTGGGTACAAAAGCCTACCACTGGTGACCCTCCACTTGGTGTCCGTGGCTATGCTGTTGCTGTCATTAGAAATGAAGTCTTCTTTTTTGGAGGCTGGTGTTGTCATGGTGACTGTAATCATAATAGTTTATACAGGTAAACATTATAGTTACTGATAAATATTATATAATATTTTATACAGTTTTAATGTTGAAACTTTCAATTGGAAGGAACTCTCTCCTACTACATCTCATCATGGTCCTATGATGAAGGAGGGCTCCAGCATGATAGCAGTAAAAGTGAATGGTGAGGATTATCTTGCAGTAATTGGAGGGTGGAGATCATCTTCTAATAATACCCCACCACAACCTGGTGCCCAGTACAGTGAAGCTACATTTGGTGCCAATCAACATTGCAATGAAGTACATGTGTACAGATTAAAAACTGGTCAGTATAATATGATATTAGGTTTATGTAAATGTAGTATATTATACAGTAATTAAATTGATGTGTGTATGTCATCATAATCCTCCTGGTTACATCTTAGTACCCAACTACCATAACTGTAGCCTATAGCGCTGGGCTTGCACCTTGATTGTAAGTACCAGTCTCCTCAGAGATTAACATACCCATTGACTTACTAGTCGCTATTAACAGACTCAGGGGTTTTCCCATTATTTAAAATTGGTTTGCTATAGGGAGGAGTCAGAGAGTCCAGTATTTGAGAACTGGATCTGATAGGTTAAAATGTTGTTGTGGTATCCCAACTCTTCCTGTTTTGTCTGATCCACACTAGACTATGCTGTAATGTATCTATCTCTTGTGTTCTAATAATTATAAAAATATAAATTATAAAAAATATAATTAAATATAAAAATAATATAATTATAAAAATAAATTATAAAAATATTTCTAAGTTTGTAATTAAATACTGTACAAGGTTTTCTCCAGTCAGTGATGGAATGGGGTTAAAGTTTGTTCCTGTCCCATACCTCACTCCTTCTCTTGGTAATGGTAACCTACTGTATCCATAGCATTGTATAAAAATTTTGGTGAGGCTTTATTTTTTTAATGGCAGAAATTTCAAGTGCCAAAATTTCTCCCTGTTACATTTACATGTACAATCATTTGTCCAATATGATAGTGCATGTGTGTGTTTATATTATTATGACCTGGGGGTGTGGCCCCCAGGTCGTTCTAAAGACCAGTTGGTGCTAAGTATATTCATAGAATTTTAAGTATATTCATTGTGATACCGTAAATAAAGTAAAATTTTTCTACCACCATTTTTGAGTCATAGTTTACTGAGATTAGAATGGGAGAAAGCAGTATCTTTGCTTCTATAGGTCCTAGCATGTACTCTTGGTCCTAGTGGCAGTATAACTATAGACACTGGATGATGGTCATTAAGCAGTAGCAAGATTGCTATAACGAATAAATACAGCAATTTTTGGACAATAACCTCTTTGCACAATCACTCCATAGACAACCATTAGAAGTAGGACTCCAAAATGGCGGTACGAAAATTTTACTTTATTTATGGTATAGTTGGTTTCAGTTGAGAAGAAACGGAAGTAATTCAATGTTTTTGTCATTTAAACGTCATACATGTGTAGCTCCGCCCAACATGGCTGCAATGTGCAAGCTCTATCATTCTTTGAGCGTTTCTTCTCCTTTAACTGACTTTACTATCTATTGTCTACAGTGGTTGCTGCTATCTCCATCTATCCTTTTCTTGTTTTTGGTGCCTGTTATTAGCTGGTATAGAGTTCGGAATACGGCCAAATCAACGAGTGTACTGGCAATGAAGAACAACTACGATTGAGAAGACTGTGGAGTGATATAGCAGATTTGTCCTCAAGAAAAGGCTCCTAGTTGAATATTAGTAGGTCTAGAGAGCTTGATACGTTTTGTTTTATTTTTAAAATAAAAAACATTATTTTTGACTAAATGTAATGAGATGCAAATGATATTTATCGGAGTGACGCACACAATTCGTCATGGCGGCTCCTTTCATCTCAAGTGGAAGAACCTATTGAGAACCTTCCAGAGTACCTAGAAACTCAAAAATTGGTAAGGATTTTTGGAAGAGCCCGTTATACAGCTATACCAAATTTCAAGTTGTTAGCATTAGTGACAAAAAAGTTATAAGGGGTGGTGGTGGTTTCTTCTCAACTGAAACTGACTATTATCATGATGAAAATACTTAAAATTCTATAAATATACTCAGTGCAAACTGGTCTATAATTGATTTCACCCACATGCAATATACTGTATAGGTTGGGATATATTTGTGGCTGCAATTATTCGATGTCATTTAAAAACCATAGAAACTGTTAGAGCGTTGCTATGACAATAAGACCACGTGTTTAGTGCTCAGCTATTCATCTGTTCTTTATAGCAGCTTTACTGGAGCCATTCACCAATAGCGAGTCCTTCTCTATCCAGTTGCGACGCCAACGGTAAGCTCACGTGAATTTTATTTTCCAAGTGACGTCATAATGGTTGCCAAGTGATGGCTAAAGCTGTGTTTAGTTTTGTCTTGTTTATATGATGGTGGATCATCTATAGCTGTATGAAGCAAACTCAAACTTGAAGCAAAAAGGTATAGAATCAATTGGTTAGTTTTCAGTCTGGAATTACTGGAATTACTGGAGCCAGCTTTACTATATTTTGGTTGTTATTGTCACTGTTTGGAAAATGGTGTAAACTATCTTGGTATATAATAGTACTTGAACTGGCCAGAACAGCTCAAAATTAGGTATGCAACTAGCCTATTAGTAGATCTTTGTGTATGCAAAGTATCATTTTGATACCGTTGCCTAGAACGACAGTTGCATCCATAATGTAGATTCAGCCTGCATGATCCATTCTTTCATACCATATTTTGACTGTTCCATTCCTTTTTTCTACAGATTTCACACTCAGGGTCATTAACCAAGTCATTTTACCTGAATAGAATTGTTTAAAATACTTTTAGAGCTAGATTTTATACTTGTCATTATAGTCATATTATGTGCCATTGACTTTCAGAGGCCTTAGCATCCTTATTTCTTGCTGGAACAACTTTAAACTTTGGAGCATATTCTTCTAGCTATTATCTTGTTGTACACAAATGGACAGGAAGCTGGGATTGTCTAGAACACTGTGCGCATCCGGTAAAGTCAAGGACATCAGTTGCTTGCAGTTCTGTTATAGTTTATTTAAATTGGTTGATGTTTTTTATGGTGATAAATATGTACATGTTCTGTGTATTGTAGGCAAATTTCATAGTAAAACTATTAAATAAAAAATAAATATAAAATAAAGTAGCAACTCGTTAATTATTCATTTTGCATAGGCGTAGGAATGGGGGGGGGGGCTTGGGGAGCTTCAGCCCCCCCAACTTTTTAGCAAGAGGGGCTTAGCCCCTCCCCCCCATGTTTACATGCTAAGTCATGCTTTTTAATGTTGAGCCCCACAACTTTTGAATCATTCCTACGCCTATGTATTGTCAAGTGTATTACAATAAAATTATACAGGCGCTTATGACTTCCGGTATACCGTTGGCGTCACGACTGTATCTGTTAACTTCTTGTATGGACCTCTACCTCAGAGCTCTTTCAGCCTCTTTGCTGCAAATTGTTGCTGGCCCATGTGCTGGTGATAATAAACCACGCCCAAGTCAATAAACACTAACTAGAATGGATGGAGAGTATCAAGATACGGCGAGACACTAGTTCTGAAAAGAACTGATGAAAGCAGCTTCAAAGAGACCAAGGCTTAGTAACACAAGAAGAACAACAGCTCAAGAACACTGCAGCAAGGTGCTTTCCTTCAATGTCATGCCGTTTTTAATTAAAATAACACCTCGGTTTTCATGGTTTTTAATTGAATTTTTTATGACCGTGAATAATTGCAGCCGCAAATATATCCCAACCCACAGGTAATATATTTTTGATTGTGTGTCAACACTTACATTTGAAGAAATAACAAGCCTTAGCAAACACCCTCCCACGCTCCTTTATGTAAGTAGGTGTGGCCATCGCAAACAAAACGGCGGAATAGATATTAGAGTAAATAAAAGGGATTGGAAATGGGCATCTCATTATACATCGCTAGGAGACGGATGTGGGTTGACATTTGCATCTAGCAACAGGGGCTATCTTTGAGCAAGAACTGTCCTTTTGACACCTGTCATTCCAGCAGTGGTGCCAGTATATGCCATTATTTATATCAAAGGAAGCAGAGGAGACATGAATCTATCCCCAGACAAAATTTTATGTTGCTAGCATCATATCATTTGCACTGATTATTTGCTCTGAAATGTGAATGGTTTCTAACAACATTTGTTTTGTACCCTTATCTCAAGAGTGAAAGACAGATTTATGACAGTATTGATTTTACCATTAAAAATAGAGTTTCAAAATGTGGAGGTTGCCCACTATATTTTGTTCAGAAAAATGATTATGTCTCTCTGTAATGATCAATTTAATGATAAGTTTGAGATGTTTGTTTTGTACCCTTAACATACATGTACAACCAAAGGGTCTGTGAGATTAACTATCACACCATTGTAATAGTTAGAACTCACCGGAGGTCACTGACACCATTTCTATTCATTAGGTTGTACAAAGCAAAATATAAAATTAAATAATAGTAAATGTGATCAATAATGATTCATAAAACACCAAATTTAAACTGCAAACAGATACATTGCTACATCAGACGGCTTGGGTAAATAGGAAGAATGTCTCTCAACATTATTATTGAAGGGTTACCTGTACAAAATAAGACTTTATCCAACAACAACTACCTAAGAAGTATGCTTACCTACACGTACTTCAACTGTTAATTTTACATACAAGTAATTAGAGAATTTTTTTACGGTACTACCAAGTCACATGTTTCTGACAAATTCCTGTTGCTATGCCCCGATTCCAATCCCTTTCTTCTACTCTATTATCAATGATGGTGTTTTGCACATGGGACAAAGTTATGAGCTTTCTAGCAAAAGAACATACATGTACACGAGATACTGTCTAAAGTCTTTTCTAGAAGCATTAGAAGGTAGAAAGAACCTTCAATCATAAGTCTTAATAAGAACCCAGCTGTACATGCAAGCTAGGTGGTGAAAACAAATATAGGGATATTTTTACACTGTTATACACTTGTTTTTATTATTTTTAGGTGAATGGACCTCACCAACTGTCACTGGAGACAGACCACCTCCTATTGATGACTTCACTTTAACATCAATAACTAATACCACCGCTATATTGTTTGGTGGTGCTATTGATAATTTAAGATACAGTAATGATGTATATATATTTGAATTTACTGATACATCAGTGGTGAGTGTATTATTTGTATTCTACCATGCCTATAGTTGCAATTAACTAATCAGACTGCTTGATTCTAGGTTTATAAATAACTTATTTACCACTGGGAGGGGTAAGTAAATTCCCGGACAGTTGGAGGTTAATAAGTGGCCCGGGAGGTTAATAAGTTTGCCTGGGAAATTACTTATTAACCCCTGCTTAAAATAGGTATGCCGTTGCTATGTGTTGCTAAGTAAACTACCTTAAAGCCACTATTATTGTGAGTACTAATTTTTACGTTTTTTGCGAGTGGCTTTAAAATCACAAAAATCAGTACTCGCATTTATTAATAATTAGGTTTATTAATAGTTATAATTGAAAAAAGAACAAATTTGCGAAAATTAGTACACACTAAATCAATACCATTAACAAATTGCAAATTTATTATTTTAGAAATGTACAAAGTTTCCTAATCCTGGAGGATCAGCACAATGGCCTAAGAAGAGAGAGTATCATTCCAGTGTATTGATCAACTGTAGCTCAGGACCACACCTACTAGTGGTGGGTGGAAAGGGATGGGGTGCCAGTGACTGTTGGTTGTTAAATGTAAACAAAATGGAATGGAAAGAACTGGTAAGTATTATAATATAATTGTGGTGAGCATGAGTGAATCCCACTAGTACGAGACCACTGTGATCTGTCTGTCGTATGCCACTCCTCCGGCAATGATAATCAATTTACTTTCAATACAGATAGTACAACTGGTCAGTATAGACATGTGCATATGATAAAAAAATGAAAGATTATGCTATGAGTAGTTTTTTTAGAGAAGCTCATAAAGCTTGCCTTTCAGTGCATGTTCTCATTTTTGTGAGTGCGTGATTGACAATGGAGAAGAAAGGAGTAGAGGAAAATCAATTTTATTAACCTGATATATTATTTTGTCATTATTTTAATTTATATAGACTAATATACCAGACAGTGTCACTCATAGATATGATCATTCTCTCTCAGTTTGGAATGAGACACAGACCACTCACTGGATAATTGAGTTTGGAGGTGGTTCAAAATACAGTGATACAAGATTTATTGAAATCAGTGAGTACATGCATACATTAGTAGATACAATGTGTATTGAATATGTAATAATAACAATAAATTATTATAATAAAGAACACCCGATACGTACAGGAAATAACGTCATAATAATATTGTAAGACCTATTGAAATATTCGTGAAATATAGTTGTACAACTGCTCGTGAGTGCTTCATGAGGTAGCATAATACTCTATGGTAGTATAGGGTACCCATGGCAACTAGATTCTAGCAACACCACCACACCTTGAAGGCAAGATGGAGGATATCTGTATTCTGTACTGCACCTCCTGGGTCTATACTCCACTACTGTGGCGTCAGCGGCACAGCTACTAGTGTTGAGCTTACTATTTAGGTAAGTTGAGGTTTTAAAGTAACTTTAAAAACAATTATTGCATGCAGTTGGCAAGACATTATTATGTAATATATATATATATATATATATATATATATAATACATATTCATATGCTATTTACATAATGCTGCCGGTAGTTGTAACTTTTATTTTGCTGTTATTAAAAATTAATTATACTACTAACCGTGTAGTCTTGCCCTAGTCTCGCTGCCCAGACCCTCCGCCTGCAGTCATTGGGGTGGACACCCCAATGACCGTAGGCAGAGGGTCTGGGCAGCGAGACTAGTCTTGCCCCATCTATACCAAATCTTCAATTATAAGTAATAATGAACAGATTTGTAGCATCTTAATAGTATCTGTATCAGTATCTTAATAGACAACAGATTCCTGTTTGTTAACTGTAGTGTAGATAAAGATTTTCACATGCATGCCGAGAAATGAAGTAATGACTATGTGTGGGTGTCTTGTATTTGTGTTGTGGACAGACATGTACTACGTACATGTACATGTACATCACCATTATATATGGAAATGTAAAATTAGGTAAATCTATTAATACTATTATTGTTACTGTGTCCAGGCCTGGGGTTAATTACTTTCAATTGTAATCTATTACTATTACTATTACACCTTGACACTTCATATTACTATTACTATTACTATTACAGGGAAAATGACAAGTAATAGTATTACTATTACTATTACCTCTTGTAGTTTTACAACATAACGAAAAATAATTTAAAACAATACGTTGATAGCATTTAATAGAAATTAGTCTTTCAAACACACTGTCAGACAATGAACAGTGATCTGGTTGAAATATTTTACCAGCTATATCAAATAGCCATTCGACTGGGGTTACTGGTATTGCTTATTGTGAAAGATAATCTATAGTGTCCTCAATG